ATCTCGTGTTGAAGCTGTGTGGATCCTCGAACTACACACCTAAGATGCGTATTCATAAGTTATCCTAATCTTCTAGCTCTAAACAAGTGAAAAGCTTTTTGCATTAAAAAATCATTAAGCATTTCCAAAAAAAATGTTCTACATTAAAAAAAAATAAAATTAATTGATTTGATGAAACAAAAATCCAGCAACCCAAAAAAAACCTAAAAATTCTTATCCTTAAATTAGTTGTACAGAACCATCATCTTTATCTGCGTTGCTTTACAAGGATTTGTGACATTAAGGAAGGATACTAATAGATCCCCTAAGCAACCATAATATCTTATAAGTTGCTTAATGAACCCAATTTTATACCCTTATTTTATAAGGTTAGAATTGGAGTAAGACCATACTTTAATACATGACGGTGTAATTTCTTTGTTTTGTGTTCTTTTTTGTTTTTTTTAGAATGTGCATCAATACTTTTTTTTTTTTTTTTTGTAAGTTTGTGGTTTGATGACGATAATAAGAGATCTAGATTTAGATATAAAGAAAAATAAAAAATGTTAAACTTTATGCTTAAATTAAATAAAACTTCATTGTTAAAGCTTGAATCAATAAAAAAATAAAAATTATCATTAAAAACGTATTGACAAGAAACATTGACAAATGTTAGGATTTGACAATAATGACATTTTGGGATTTTGAGAAATAGTAAACATGAGTCTTCACTCTATTTATCATCAATGTTGTTGATGAGTCGGTGGAATTTTTCAACTTGGTGGAAGAAAAGAGTATGAAAAGGTTAGTGATTGTGATAGTAATGTCATTGCAAAGACATGAAAAATTGACATTTTACAATAAAATAAAAAAAAGAAGAGATTGTTTGGAACAAATTAGGAAGAATATTAATTTTTTTTAATCCTTTATCTTATTATAAAATTTTATTTCAATCATTTAGTTTTTCAAATATTCATTTTGCCCCCTTTAACTTTCAATTTTGACTTAATATATTATCATTCTAAAATAATGTTTTTTTTTCTCAATTTTGGAGTAAAATTTTAAACTCTTTTTTAATTAATTTAAAACATGAAATTAGTCTCATTAAATTCACTCATACAAAAACTGTGGAGCCCGACTATTGTTAGAACCAAAAAAGACCTCAAATATGATAAAAATTGCATGAAATGAGAGTCTCACAGGTTATAAAAAAGAACCAATGAAAAATTTCAATTTCCAACAGTTCATGAGACTTACTTTTCACATGATTTCTACTGTGTTACAACCGTTTTTGGGTTCAAACAATAATTAGATTTCGTAGTTTTCATTAAGGCGAATTTAATGAAACAAACTCCATGTTTTAATCAATCAAAAAAGGGTTCAAAACTGTTAATCGACCAAAAATAAATCTTTTAAAAGATAAAAAATTAAAACGGTTTTTTATAATAAAATAAAAACCAAAAATGTATTTTAGAAAAAAATTCAACTATTCATTTAAAATTTAATATATCTAAAGATTAAAAAAAAAAATTATAACAAAAGAAATATACTTTTCATTGTAATCAATATCTAGTTTGTATTCGAGTATTATGGATAAAAAATATGTTATTAAGAGAAGAAAACTTATAAAAAAGATTAAGCAGAATTTTTTATAATAATTAATTTTTGACAAAGTAAACATAATTTAAAAAATATCTCAAAAGGATTAGGATAGTTAAAACGAAAAATGTCATGAACATTATTTTGCTTTCATTTTGGTTGAGTTACAGTTTGTACTCTAGGAATTATGTTGTTCTCCATGGTTCAATCATCATTTGTTATTTATTTAGGATATGGCTTCAAGTCTTCTTAATCATGTGCAACTTTTATTCAACTTTCCTTTTTCAGGTTTGACTTGCTTCGAACCTTATCCTGGGTTTGGCTCTCTCTTCACGGAATTTCTGTGATTTGTGTACTCAACTTTCTTCCAGAAATTTGAAAGTACAAGTTTTTTTTTTCTTTTTTAATTTCTTTTTAAGGAAGATTAAACTGATTTGAGATAGACAAGAGTCTCACATAAAAAAAAAATTAGTCTATTTCTCTCAATATATTTTTTTAATAAAATTTAAAACTCAAAATTGAGATTTTGATATTTAAAGATTAATTACAATACTGATTAAATCAATAAATATTAATGATTCTCACTTATTTTAAAACACTGTACATTTTTATAAATAAATAATTGATAATAAAGGGAGCGATCAATGTTTTTATTTGGTAAAACCAAACCGCAAAGGCGAATGAAATAAAAGGTTACGCAATTTCAAACTTTTAAAGAAATGTTAATTATATTCTAATTAAAAAAGCAGAAATATTAATTGTATTCTGAAAGAAAAAAAAATGCTACTTATACAATAAGAACTGAAAAATTGGGGAAAAAAAGTAGAAGAACATGTGATAATAAGATGAATAACATGATCAAGAGATTAAAAAAATTAATATTGTAAAAATTTGTATAAATTGTATAATTATTTCTTTTATATTTTCATGAGCCTAAGTACTACGTGGAAAAGTGGGAAAATAAATTAAAATTAACTTGGAATAGATAATGAGATAATATAGGATAATGTAAATGAAATTTGCTTTTTGAAAGGAAATCATAACAAGAGTGTGTATTGCCAAGTCGCTCTAGTTAGTAGCTTATAAGTTATAATTACTTGCTCATGAGTTGGTTTGATTTATATAAACTTATTTGATATATAAATTTATTTTAGTAATTTTAATGGAATTTTTTATAAGTTAATTTTAACCAGCTTATCAAAATAAACTAACTTATTATTTTTATTTTATTTGTATCCTCACAGTTTATTTAAATTTTTTTCCTTAGATAAATAAATATATTTTGTTATGTTATTTTATATTTATCAATTATTTTATTAATTAATATTATCAAGCCCTTTTAATTTAATCAACTAATTTTGAATATTTTAATGTTTTAATTCTTAGCTAATGGCTTATAAACTTTAATTAACTTGCAAGCTTCATTTAAATTATAAACTTTTAGTTAACTCACAATTAAATATGTCTAACCCAACACATCCATATATGCTCAAGAGTTTTTTATGTTTATTTTATTTTAATAAATTTTTTTTATTAGTAATTAAAATACAAATTCACTATGATTTTAGTATTTTTCTACTTTTAATATTTTTTTCACAAAACAAAAAAGTCCAACCTAAAAAAGGATATTATTTTTATGATCGTTAAAAAATTAAAAATACAAGCAACTAATTAATAAAATATTATTATTTATATTAGAAATATATTTATTTTAGAAGAGCCTTTTCAAGTTCCAAAATATATAACCCACTAAGTTGACTTAATAATGGAAGGTTTAAGTAATATGCAAGGATATAAATTTTAACAATATTATTATTATTGTATACATTTTTTTATTATAAAAAAGCATACACAAATATTAACAATTCACTTTTAGTATATAAGTATAAAGTGTTTATTGACTTTATTAGTAACTAGTTTTTAATACATTTATTTGAATACTCTCTACAATTTTAGCATTTTTTAAAAAAATGAATCCCTCTTCTTTATTTCGTAATTTTTAATAAAATTTAAATAGTAACAGAGTACATATTAAAAAAAAGTATGTTGTCAATGTTACTCAATATAAAAATATTTATATTCCTCTAGCTCCTTAATTATACATCAATGATGGTACTTATGTATTCATTTTATGGTTAATTTCTTAACATGAATTCTTAATATTAATTTTAAGTAATTAAAGACAACAAATTACTAAAGAGTATACATTTAGTTAACCTTTTATATTTCAATGCCATAAACCTTTCTATTTTTTAACTCTATACGATTAAAATTTAAAGTTAATGTTAAGTTTATTCTCATACGGTTTTTCAAGACACTGAAAATATGTTTAAATAGAAAGTGTAAAAGAATTATATTTGAATCGAGAAGTGTGTCAAAGTAGTGTAGTAAATGAAGTCATCATGATGAACGGTGTAGATGAAATTGAAGTTAAAGATAACGGGGATAGGTGTACCTTTCTCACGAAGTGAGTGAGTGACCATAGTCAACGTTACATCATGCTTCTAACAACGTGTTTATCGCACGTGGGAGCATGAGAAACACCGTGTCACACTTTCAAACAAAGTTCTGACAGCGCAAACCCCACTATACCCCCATGCGACACGCACCGATATTAAAATGTCAAAAACGAACTATACATTTAAGGATCACAATGAATCCATGTGGCCAGTAATATTAGATGAGTTACTCATTTATATATCGTTAATGTAATTTTTTATATATTAATAATCAATCATATTTTTTTAATAATATTATGTTAATTATTTATTTAATAAAATAAAATAAAATAAAATAATTTTAAAGATATAATTGGTTATTAGTGTAAAAAAATTTATACTAACAATGTATAAATGATTAACTCATAATATATTTGTATCCATTCTCTTATATAAAAATTTGTATCGTATTTATGCAAATATTTATTTAATAAATATTCATAAATTTTATAAAAAATATTCATAAGTATTTATGAATTATTTTAAAAATTAAAAAAATATTATAAATAATTTTAAACTTATATTTAATATTAAATATATTAAAATATTAAAAATAAATAATTAATATTAATTTTTAAATTTATAATTAATGATAACTTTTAAATATAAAATATAAAAAATATAAATATTTAAATAATATTATTTAATAGATATAAATATTATTGTATCTATCTGTTTTATTTATAAATAGATAAAAAAATATCCATATCTGTTATGCTATGCGTGAATATCTATTTATGTTATTAAATACGTATTTTATCTATAATCTGCAAATACAGATATTTTGGTTATCTCTGATTACATTAGATTAATTTTGGATTAACGCTAAATGTATCTTAACAATTTTATTTTATACATGTATGGGTAACGTATTCATATAATTTTTTAAAGTAAATATAAGATATGAGTGAATAATAAAAAATATCATATAATAAAAATAGGCGCTTTTGGTGGAATTAAAACGGCAGAAAGCTTAGAAACGCAGGGAAAAGTTAGATACTTTAGTTGCTTTGCTTTCCTTCTCTCCCATTCGCTTCGGAGCAAAGAAAAATCACTCTCAAACCACCTCTCTTACTGGTATGTTGCTATTGCTGGTTCTGCTTTAGTTTATTTTTTGTGTGTTATGTTGTAATCTGAAGAGTTTAATTAATTAATTAATTAGAGGTATTTTTGTGGTTAGGTATTAAGATTTAAGCTGGGTGAGGTATGGCTTCGTCTCTGTTACTGGCGGTGGTGTTCGTGTTTGATCTGATTGCTTTCGGTCTCGCGGTTGCTGCAGAGCAGAGGAGGAATACTGTGAGTCACTCTCTTCGTCTTTTTCTTTTCTTTTTTCGCCTATTTTTTCTTTTTTATTTATTTATTTTTAAATATCTGGATTTAGTTAGTTAGCTATGCCTTCTTTTCTGCTCACATAGTACCATCTCAATAGGGAAACAGAGAGCGATTATAGATATATTTTAATGATTGTGTAATATAAAATTTTAACTATTTATTTACTGATGTATTATTCAAATTTATTGTTTTTATTTCTTAAAATAACCAATAATTCTTATTTAGGCCGTGTTTAATAAAATTAGCCTATAAGTTAAAAACGCCTTCTAGGTTGTAAACTAAGAATTAATTTTTTTTTTTAAGTTGATTGATTGAGTTGAAAATATATGATAAAGTTAGTTGATAAATGTAAACTAATATAAAAATATATATTTAATTATTTGAGGTAATTCTTTTTAAATAAATGAAGAAAAAAAAAGTAGCTTATAAGTTAGATAATTTTTGTAAACTAGTTGAAGTAGCTATGAAAAATGAAAATAAGTTAAAAGGTATTAAAATAAGTTTTCAAGTTAGTTGAAACTCATAAGATATACCTATAAGTTAAAAGTTGAAAATTTATAAATTAAATTATTGAATTGGAAATGTTTGAGAAGCTTAGTTGTTAAGCAATTGGATAAGGATAAATATATATAAAATGACAGAAAATGACATATTTAGTTATTTTGAGATAATATTTTAAAAATCGGGTCAGATATCAAATCAGTTAGAATAATGATTAGTGTTCAACTTAATAGGTTACTAATTGAATACATAATTCAATTTTTATTAATTATTTTTTGAAACATTCATATTATATATATTTTCTATTTATAAATTTCAATAATATAATATTTTAAAGAAGTTTTCTAAAAAATTATAATTAATATAATATTGACAAAGCAACTAAATTATAAATAGATTAAATAATGACATTCACCCGTATTTAAGTCTCATCAAGTCTAAAACTACCTTTATATTTTTGTATTGTATATTGAAAAATACATCTAGTCCAGCATTGGGTCCTAACAAGCTTCACTGGTATAAATATACAGAATACAGGCTTGATTCTTACTTGTAACAATTTTAGTACATTTTGTCACCACCCAATGTGTCTCCCATGTGCCAGGCTCAGACTTAACACCGAAACAGTCCAATCAGTTAAATTACTCTGATCGAACTGGATTTTTCATCGGTTTAATGATGTTTTCATCGGCTAATGTACATATTCTATCCAATAATTAAAACAAATTGGTCATATAACCTGTTTCCAGTTGGATTAGTCTGACTTGCTGGTAGAAGCCGAATTTTAAAACTTTGATTTGAAGTAAAAGAAATTTCAAATAATTTGATATACATAAAAATGAAAAGCATGACAAAAAATTAGTAACTTATAATTTATCTATTTTCATAAGCTACTTAAAGTAATTTATGTAAATAAATTGGAAATTACTTAAAATAAGCATGCTTACCTAATAATTTTATTTATATATAACTTTTTATGTGAATGTAAAATGGATAAATATTTATTATTAAATTTTATTGTGAATCTTCAATATTATGATATATAAACTATGTTAAATTTTAAAAAAGTCATATTACTCTATGATGTGACAACATGATTTTAAAATATTTTTTTTTTATCATTCATGCATATGTAGTCGAGCAGTTCAAGGTTGTCCTTCTAACCTCTCATAAAAATGATTTTCACACTAAATACATTCCCTTTATATGTTGTGAGAAACAAGAACAGTGAATATCAATTATTAAACTTTGTATAGTCAAGATTAATTGCATATGGATTTTTTTAGTCATATTACTATTAATTAAATTTTTATCTTTAGTATCCATGTATAATTATAATTTATACAGTCAGAATTTAATGTTTTTCACATTTAAAAAATAAAAATTGTTTTCATTACATTTACATATGCCTAAGGGGTAGGTTGGCATATGTCTGTTATATGAAGTGTGAGTTAGGTATAGTACAAGAAGAAAATTTAGGTTTGAATATTAGAGATTTCAATCGTATCACTCAGGAAAAGCCGATATCCTATTACATTGACATTGACATTGACATTGACATTGACATGATGGTTGAAAATAAAAAAGTTGCTTTAGTTTAGATTCATACCATGGAGAGTATAACACTGAGCCTAAGTAAATATGTATCGATCTCAAGCAACAAGGGTCAGATAATTCAATTTGATTGTTCTTACATGTTCTCATGGAAAGGAGAAATTGGTGCCTAAAACTTTCTCATCCACAAATTGAAATTTCTACTAATCTACTAATACTTAAAAAGTTAAAGTAGCATGTGGCTCATGGACATAACATAATGGAAGATTCTTTATTAGCTTGGTTTCACCCTTTTAAGCGGAATAAAGGTGTACCTTTTTCTAAACTCATAAATAGAACTCATGTTATGTTCCATAAATAGACACATTTACCAAACGCTTGTAGCTGATGTCACACGAAGATAGGTTTGAATTTTGAAACAGAGAATGCTGTCATACAAACTCTTAGGGCCTGTCCATTTAGGTTGCAGTTGACGCAATTCGAACAACATAGAACAAGTTGCAGAGTTACAACTCCAGTTTCTGTTCTAATTACTTCTATCTGTTGTTTCACATGATTACTGGATTCAGCAAGGCAAAATTTACTAAACTACTCCTTTTTTTTTGTAAAATAATTATTTTGCATTTTGGGAAGGTATCAGGACAATTTAGTATTTATCACTAATTTTACATCATTCTTTCTTTTTTATAACTACACTATTAATACAAAGTATCACCAATTTGACTTCTCTATAGGAAAATTTATCTGTCAATCTTTAATGGATCTATCTCTCAATCAAATTTTTTTAATCTACAATATTCAAATTAAAGACCTTTATGAAAAGAAAAAAAAACCGAATCTACTATCATTTATACCAACAAATTATAAGTAATTTTACATCATTCTAATTATTATTAATTATTTATTCTAGTTTATCTTACATCATTCTTATTATAGACCCCAGATATGAATTGGTGTCCCCATCTTTGGGAATGACAATACCTAGTTATCTATTTCAGATAACAACATATAACAACCAATATGAATTTTACATCATTCTAATTATTATTAATGATTTATTCTAGTTTGTTTTACATCATTCTTATTATTGATCCCAATTAAGAATTGGTGTCCCCATCTTTGGGGTTTGGGAATGACAATACCTTAGTTATCTATTTCAGATAGCAATATATATATCAGTCCATCTTAATGCTGTGTTTAGATTAAGAGTAAAATAAAAAGGAAATAAATAAGAATAACATAAATATAAAAAAAATAGAGGATAAAAGATGTGTTGTAAATAAATAAATAATTATATGAAAAGTATTTTACACTAAGTAAATAGTGGTCTTTTTACACTATTGTTTCTTATTAGCAGAAAATTATTTATCTTTTTCTTTTTTTAAATTTTCCATGTTATAATTTTTTAATTTTTAAGAAATAAAAGAACAAAATGAAAAAGGGAGAGATTTTTCCCTTCTTTTCATGCCAAGTTGGGGGGAGGTGAGTGGTTTTTTTAGTGAGTCCCACTGAAATAATGTGTTCTTACTTTTTTCTTAAAACAGAGAATGAAAATTTAGTATTTTTATGTAGAGGTGGGTTAATGCTTTAATCGACTAGTGTTGACTCTTGACTCAACTAAGACTTGTTCATATTGGTGTGCCAAATAAATGGGACTAGTGTTGACTGTTGACTCAACTAAGACTTGTTCATATTGGTGTGCCAAATAAATGGGCTGCATTTTATTTCTTTGCGTTTGCCCCGTATGTCTTAGGATTAATTAAATAGGCTAGTTCGCTGACCAATGATAAAAAATAACAATTTAAAATTGTCAAATTAACTATAAAGTAAATAAAAAAAACTAACTAAAGGAATCAAAACTATGATTTTTTTTTGTGAGTTTTTACTTGTCAATAATTGATAAAATTTAATAAGAATAAACAAATTAATAAAATTCAAACCCAATAATTAAATAGAAACAATAAAAGAGGCAAGAGAAAATGACATAAAAAGTGTTTTTATGAATTTTTTTTTAACGAGAAGGTTTATATAAGTTGTTTAACTTATCTAATTTTTTTATTTATCATAATAATTTATAAATTAAATTTAATACTTTTAAAATAAATTATCAACAAATAAAAATGATATTGTACTATTATACAAATTTTAAATATGATTTGTATTTATACATAATATTTATTTTTATATATAGTTTATTATAATTTTAGTTATATATAATAAATATTTTGCTTGTACAAGTTAAAAAAAAAAAAAACTGCATTAACCAAATATTAAAATTCTCAACAAAATAAACTAACAATTAAAATTAATTTATATTTTTAAAATAATAATACGATGGTGTGACCCGCTAGTTCCATGGACCAAACCTATTAAGCATATGGGTTACGTATGCCGAGTTGAAAAAACTTGATCCCTACACCTATCTCTATTTATCCCACCACTTTCTTTTAAATATAATTTTGTTTTTCATTCCATTTCTACTCAAACAAAAAGCAGGATTAAAAACAATTTTTATATATCAAGTGCATAGTGGGATGGTATTTTTTTATTTATTTTTTAAATTGTATACAATACAATTATTCAAAATTCATGACATATTCATAATTATTAAGGATTAAAAATAATAGATTAACTCTTAAGCAAACATAAAATTTGTAACAATGGGAATCGATGCAAATTACTACCATGATGGGTGAGTGTTGGTTGCACAAAAGAGAGAGCATGAAAAACTACATCCAAATATTTTTTTTATTTAATTATAAAAGAGGTGAGGGAAATTTCATCTCTAGCCACAATAAAACTCCCCAAACGATGCAATTTTGAGGGCAAAAAAGGTTTCTCAACATGCCTCAATGTAGTGAGGTAGTCAGATCCATGTGAAAGGGCAATAATTCTAGCACCAAGGCCTTACAACTTGATGAATTTGTAGGTGAATGTGAGTGGATTCTCAAATAGGCTCTGACACACGTTCTCCCTTTTTTTATTTATTTATTTATGAATGAAGATTTGAGTGAAAGTGTGTAGTTATGGTGTTGTAAATTATACTCCGTTTTATTTTATTTGAATTTTAAAAAATGCTAATTATTAACTTATATGACATTTAAAATTTTGACACAAAAATTAAGTATCACAATATTTAAATTTTTATAAAAATTATTATATATTGTTTCTGATATATCTCATCGTTTACATTGATTAATTGTGTCATATATCTCTTATCTTTTGTATTGAATAAGGAAAATGCTAGTTTTAAGTTTTTAGAAACTGTCATGTCCCTTTTGATATTTCTCCTCTATCTCTCGTTCAATCTTCACTAGAGGTGAAAAATGGATTAGGTCAACTAACCTAACCCGAACTTGTTTGATGAAATGTAAGATTAAAATTTTAAATTTTTAAGATGGATTAAATTTTGTTCGACCCAACCATGCTTTGATTTGGTCCTAGCCTACAAAACCAATACAAATTGAGCTTTTGCCAAGTTTGAGTCTTTCTTTGGAAGCTAGAATTGAATATGAGCTTTTTAGTCCGATTAGTTATGTCCCACAACCTTTACCAAGTTTGTGATTGGTTCAACCTAGTTGATGAAATATAGGCTTGGGCTTTAAATTGTGAGCACAAATTTAGTATGATTTTTTAGTCTGATCCAATCATATTTGGATTTGGGCATAGCTCCGGAAAAAATCATATAAAATCAAGCTTTTGCTGGACTTGAGCCTCATTTTAGAAGTGCAAGAATTTTTGGCCCGACCTACCATAGACATACAGACTAAAAAGGCCGGTACTTGCAGTAAGAAAACATGTACGATATTTATTTAAATGAGTTGAATTATTCAAGAATTATTTAAGTTTAATAAGCTCAGTTAACCTTACCAGACAAACTAAAGCATAAAAATTTAGCTAAATATGCATAACTTAAGTCCGATCTTCATAAGTTTAACTTCTTTTTTTTTTTGGGTAAAATTATAAGTTTAACTTTAAAAGCGTTCTAATGAGTGAAATGACTTGTGTGTGTTTTCAATGACAAAAAAGTCAAGTTCAGAAAATGAAAGATGTAGATAATAATATATAATTTATATATTGCTATTACTTCATAAATTATAATTTTACTTATTGCTATCTATCACTCACTTCAATATTCAAAAGGTTTTGACTCGTGACTATCAATGTGTTTCTTCATGAAGATGTTAGTTGTCATTCAATGATAGTTATCATCAATTTCATTAGATCCTTTAAAACTAGATTGTGGCAGATCTCATTTCACCATATATATTGAGAGGTCACATGTGTGAAGACTCTTTAGTTCATTATGACTCATCTATAATCAATGATTTAGTTATTTGACAGATTTGTCCTTCTTTCAGTAGTTCTTTTGTATTGATTGATGCCACAGAATCTCTTTCCCTAGAGCATAACTGTGTTTTTTTCTTTTTTCTTCTCACTTTCTTACAAATAAAAAAAAGACTTTTACTCTATTCCTATTTTTACTGCATCTATTATAAAGATGGCTACCAAAAAAATACTAAATAAGCTTATAAAAGACTTGAAAGAAAACCAATAAGGCTGGCTTAGTGGTGAAGATTCGAGTAGATATATGAAGAATTAGGTTTGATAAAAGAAAAAGAGAAAAGAACTTATAAATGAATTAAATAAGACAAGTCCAAGACTCATATTTTTAACAAGTCTTGATGTTCAAGTGCCTGACTTGCAATGATTCTTAACCATTGGTTTGCATGGTTTTTAACGTTCAGCTATTCAGAGACTCATTTTTTTCCCCACTTATTTGGCAAGGTACTGGGAGCAGTTATATGAGTGTAGCTTACATATATCGACATAACCTTAATTTCTCTAGTCTCTAGTCAACGTGGGAGCGTTATTTCCATTTTAAGAGATTTTGACAGGAGAACCAACTTGTCCCATCAATGTTCCCTCATGATTAGATCCTCAAGTGTACTTGTAGAAAATGGAGAGCAGAACTTTATGATTGTTGTCTGGCAACACCATTAGATAGGGGAAAAAGCCAAAGTGAATTTGCATTTTAGTACATTAGTTGCAATGTATTCCACAATTCTAAGATGCATTATTTGCGATTTGAGGGAAACGAAGTTGGTAAGGATTAAAAATTTGTTGACGCATCTCAGCAACAGATAGGTCTCTAAAACACGTTATAGAATCAGTTTCATCATTGTACATACAGGACACTAGTTCAACATTTTCTCCACCAAGTTGTGATGGGACAAGTCAAAACTGGAATCAAATATTTGCAGTGTTGAAATGGTTTTACTTGAGTGTAACTATTTGTTCTTCTGACAGGCCACGTTAGCTAAAGACACTGCAGGGAGAAACTACTGTCAATATGACTCAGACGTTGCAACCGGCCTAGGTGTGGGGTCCTTGTTTATCCTAGTTGCCAGTCAAGTGATCATTATGGTTGTAACTAAATGCTTGTGCTGTGGGAAGGCCATGAGACCCAGTGGATCCAGATCATGGGCAATTTGCTTGTTCATCACTAGCTGGTATGTGTCCATTTTCAAATCCTAGTCTTGCAATCATAAATTTTATGTTTGCTCTAAATTGTTCTTTTGTTGATTTCAATTCACAGAAACAATTGGTCTGTTTAGTTTTAAGGACATTTCTTTTTTGTTTTTGTTTTTTGTTTTCACTAATAATAACTATGAGTATGTCACCTTTTGTTCAGTTTGTCCTCAGATTTTCGGTCTGTTACCTTATAACAATATTGCTTTTACTAGTTCTAGTACAAATATTGGAAAACACTAAACACAACGAAAATAATGCAACATTATCAATATTAGTGAGACACGGAAGATAGGTTACAACTATCAAGGACGGACTCTTAACACAAGCATTGGACACAACACGAGATATGATTAAAAGGATACTAATGTTTAAGATATATAGGATACTAAGGTACAACAATATATTTTTCAATATTTTATATTTTTTAAGATGGCTTCTCTAAAAGTTAAAAATAAATATTCTTTTAATAATAGTAATACTAGTGTGTAACCATCTATATGTGGGTCTCACCTTAATGAAAAAATTATTAAATAGTTTAGAACAATCAAATGTCTATAGTCCTTGTCAATCATTAAATGTTATGCATTTAAGTTTTTTAATTTATAAGAAAAAAATTAATAATATTTAATTATATATGTTATGCAGAGATTAATTAGGGTTTTATAATTCAGAACTATTTAATAATTTCTCTATCTCATCGAAGATGTATCTACATAATTAAGTGTCTAAGTTGACATTTTTTTTTGAATCGAATACTTAATGAGAAGTATGGACACTTAATTAAAAGCATTTGACACTTGTCGAAGAGGTATCACTATGATAAACGTTTATGACATTTCAAACAAGAGAGTTATCTATGTTTCATACGATTACAAAACACTTAAGCATGCAGTCAGGGATCGATGCGATCGATGTTTAGTTGATATGTATGAAAAAATATTTGTTGGGAGAGTTCAACTTCTTTAAGGATTAATTCTTAACTTTTGATTAGAGATAAAAAAAAAAGCACTTCCTGAAACCAAACAAGACAAGACAAGATATGCTGTTTTTCCTTATTTATAATCTTTTGTATGGATGATTGATTACAGGGTGACATTTATCATAGCTGCTTCGTGCCTGCTAGCGGGTTCTGTGAGGAATGCTTACCACACCAAGTATCGTGACCTCATGGGAGAGAGAGCCCCTTCATGTCAGACACTGAGGAAGGGTGTGTTTGCAGCTGGAGCTGCCTTCATTGTTTTCACAGGCATAACCTCTGAGCTCTATTATGTTAGTTTTTCAAAAGCTAATAATGGTCCCCCTCCCTATGCTCGAGACACTGGTGTTAGAATGGGCAATTTGTAGTGTGGGAAAATCAATTATTTGCATTAACTTGGCTACAGTGGATGTGAAAACCTACTTGTAATTACTATTATGTCATGAAGCTTGGTTGAAAATGACCCATGTTTAAACTATTTCCTTCCATTTGACTTTTCAATCAAGTGCATGCCTCACACCCTCACACCACTGGGGATGGAAACGGGATGGGTAAAAGTTTTAATATTTTTTTTATGATCTCGTCTTGTATTTTATATTAATTTATTTTCATATTTAATAGGTATAAAATTTGTATCCTATTCTTATATTTGTCTTGTAATAGTTCAAAATTAATTAAATTTTTTGGCAAAAAACTATAAAAATGAGAGTTTCAACGTAGAAAAATAATTATAAAATTATATTGATTAAGTTTTATTTAAAATAAATTTAGAATAAAATAAAAATTACACAAATGTTAAGTAAATTTTTAAAATATTAAATTAAGTTTTTAGAAATTTAAAGTGGATATAAAAAACATGGATAAGTATGTAAATATTGTCTTCATACTCATATCAATAAATTTAGTATTACTTGTACTTTTACTTGGTCAAATAAGGTATTTTTTGTTAAAGTCAAGATAAATTTTAAGAATTTATTTACTATTTCTACATGATTTAGATTTGTGTGCTCCAACCTTGTAAAATAACTTTTTGAAGAAAATAGGAAATACTTGTTTTTTTTTTAATATTAGTAATATGATTATATGAATATCATTCATTATAAAAAAAATATAAAAAAATAGAAAAATACTTTCTAATTATAGAATTTTTTTTATCAATAAAAAGATTACAAAGATAGTAATAAAAATCAAGTTTAAGTCTTCATGTATCTCCTCTAATTTTTGAACCAATATAGTGATTCATTTTTAACTATAAGTTCTAGTGTGAAATTGATGGAGTTACTACACGTTAGTTTAAAAGGAATAGTTAAATTTATTATATA